AGACCTTCTCATGTTCAGAAACCAGTAGAATACAATTACTCCTGTATAGGATTTAACCAGGGAAATCAATGTCTTGGGGCAGAATAAAAGAGGCAACCTATCCTAAAGTACTGGAATTGCGATGGCCACGTATGAAACTTCAGAACACCCCAAGCCACAGACTAAGAAGACTACCAGCAAGAAGCAGGCACACCAATTATTTTGTAGGACACAGGTTGTCAAATAAGCCCCATTTTAAAGTGCTTTATATTTCTGCAATAAGTGCAGCAGTAATGGACTCATCATCATGGGGCATATAAATGGATTTTGTTGCAACCCCCATGTCCATCAATACTGAAGCCAGTGTTACCATCATCTAAAGAAATGATGTGTCTCAACGAATACACGGTAAACTCATATGAATGCTGTCATGCGTTACCATTAAAATTAAAGAGGAAGAAGTTAAATCTGCCCACCAAATAATACTTCAAGACAATATCATAGTATCAGAAAAAAATGAAGTTTTAACTACTCAATCCATACTGTAAAACAGAAAATTCTAATATAGCACAATATCCTAAAATTTGCAACAGCCCCAAAGGAGTACTAGTAGCCTCAGCACTCGTCGACCTATTGAGGACATTCATCTCAGTAAGAGTTGCCAGCTTAAGTGATAAGGGAAAGTCGCGAGAAAAGATTAAGAGGTTACAACATACACTCGAGTAACCTGCATTAACACGCTGAGCGCAGCGCCAGTCCTTTGGGACCGGCAGTGAACTTTCCGTGTGGCCGCCGTCTGTCACGGCACTGGAATTTTCGTTTGGCCAGCATCGGCCCGCGGGACTGACAGCATTAAAGTTAAAAAAAAACAAGTCTCAATGAAATGTGATCAAATTTAGTTTTAATGAAATGTATTGAAACATTTTAAATAAAAATACGGCCTTAGCGGAAAGGACAGCAAATTCGGTGCCGCGCTCAATGTTTTAAACAAAACAGTAGTCCTCCATTCTGTCTGAATATGAAAAATGAGGTCGAGTTCTTCCTGGGATTGGAACAAAGGATCAGAATGCTAGCTGGATTACTGGTTGCAACCATTTATATTACTAGAGCAGTGATGGCAAACCTATGGCACTCGTGACACCGTCGGCATACCTCATCAGCCGGCAGACGGCTAAAATATTACTTCCTAAATCAATAATCACAATAAAATACTATGTAATTTAAACAAGTGTTTCAGTCTGTTCTTGAATGTTTCACTTTACTTATCGCATACCACTGGCATAGAGCCTAAGCCTAGACATCAGATTTTCATATAACACCATAAAAACGATATACATATTTATTGATCCAATTTTGGGCCAATCATGTTACCTGTTACATGGCAAAGAATATGCCAAAGTTGAAGCAGCTAATGTCAGCTAAATGAATTTAAATTTATTGCAGACTGCCGGCGAGTTTTAATACTTTCATTATTAAACAGATTCCAGTTTTCAGATCTAAGCATTTTGAGGTAATTTATGAATAATTCTAGTTTAATATCTTAAACGGAATGGCACGCGGCCTCTAAAAAGGTTCGCCACCACTGTAATGGAGCATGCAAAGAGGAATTTGATAATTCGCTATAACTACAAAGTGCGTTTAATGAATAATTCTAAACTTTTAAATCACTTAAAACCACCCTTAGTACTAATTTCTTTTTCTTGTTAAAAATATAATTATTAGAATGCCAAATTTAACCTTTTCATGTTGAGCTTATTTGTATGCCCGCATAACAATTTCTTTAATTAAACTTTCTCATATTTCTAATGATTAATTTCAGTGAAAGCCGAAGGTTATAGGTTGAAAGCTTATAATTTTCACTCAAATCTATATACATTAAAATATCGAAAATCTGCCGACCTGAAATCTGTGTTGCCTCTCAAAATATTAACTTTCAGTTCATAGGTTCCGGAAACCGCAACATGGAGTATGAAATATCGAAGAAAAAATACTTACCGGATAATTAACTCGTAATGGAAATACCAAATTATTAACATCATGATAAAAGTTTTTTTCCCCTCCAATCTGCATCGAGGTAAAAAAGCAGACGATTCACTCAACTCTTCCTTCAACTTCATGATTCACGTTGTACTTTCTGAGCTTTGTTGTTTCACGATTGTTTACTGCTGTCGGTTTTTTTTTTAATCCAGATATTTTACCGCTTTTTAGTACAATGACAGATAAGAAACACACTCATGATTTTACTGCTTGCAATGTTGAAAAATTAACACGTTACATTGACGGTAATGCAAAAAGTGGAAATTCTGCAAAAGATGGAGGCAGGTGCTACCCCTAGGTTTATAGGATAATTGGTTTGGTTTATTTAATTATGGCAAAGCACACTAGGGTTATCTGCTTAGAAGGAAGGGGTGCTTTCGTGGAGGACTTTCTAAGGAAAACTAAGAAAATGCCCATGCAGCTAGTCTGTTCGTGGGATTCGAATTACCACTGTTCAGCGACTTTACCGTTCGGCTGCTGGCAAAATTGTATGGAATTGTGACACGGACTGTGTATGTTATACGAAAAAATAAAGCTGTTGAAATTTTACAGCAACAATGATTCTAACACCGGAAATCTTTACGAGGCAAAATTGGCAAACCTCGATGCTGTCTTGTAAGAGTTGTTCCGGCAGCAGTGGAGTGATGGCGTATCAATTTCAGGACTGCTCCTGAGAGATACCCGTTAATTGTTGTGCCAAGAATACCAACTTGTCAATCGAAATTTTTTCGTTTTCACTAACCTTTCTGTCACATTCTTCATGTCTTTATCCATTTTTTGTTTGATGGACATTGAAACATACTTTCACTTTGTAAGATCCTTTGGGAGCTCCAGAATCGAAAATTCTATTTGACATAATCGAAAGTTCAAGTTTACTTTTACTGCTCTTACAGTCTGCAAAAAATAATTAGCCGGATCCAATTCGAAGATTAAGGAACAACGCAATCATCAACATTAACTGAAATAGATAATTTTAGATTATACCGTCTGTTATACATAAAACGCGCACGCGAAAACGTATTCTGCACTTGCGCCCACGCATATGCGCAGTGGTAAAAGGTCTTACGCGCACGCGTAAACGCCTATGCGCATGTGTCAACGCGGCGCATGCGCAGAAAGTTTTTAGCTTTGAGGTCCGGATTATGAGTGTCCGAATTAACGACTTTTGACTGTATTAAACAACGATCAGAGATTAATTAATTACATTACCGAGAAACTTATGTACTGTATGCAAAAGAGCAGGAGTTTCGAGGAATAATTCAAACAAGTATATGAAATTCGAAGCAACTAAGTATAAAAGATGTGATGAATGCCCTCAAGCCAAGGACAGAACACGAATGCAATATTTAAAATGTGAAAATTTACTCTGCTAAGAACATATGAATGCATTTTGTTAAAAGTGTAACAAATAAAATAAGCACTGTTTATAAGAGATGCAATACAATTTAGAGGTGTGATGTTTATTTTATTATTTTCATTTATCTTAATTTTAACTCTCTATAAAGTGTATTTTGGAAATTAATTTTTTGTAACCCAAGCATTATATATAAAAAAAAAAAAACAGAAGTACAACTAAACAAAAACGTTTTTACCGTATTTTAAATATTGGTGTGCCCAACTTTTCTTGATGAGTCTTCCGCCGGTTAATGGTGTCATGTAAGAAAATTCCATTCCCAGAGAATATATTAACAATCCTGATGTTTACATATGTGATCGGAAATAATGGTCGCTTTTACAGATAGTTGTCATATTTATGTACATTTTAATGTTGCTTTAATTTTTTATCTGGCAAACTATAATATTTTCTAAAATTTCTCAAATAGGTAGTTAAATTTCTACTGAGAGGTTAGAACTGTTGAATACTGGTAATTTGTCCAGGGTTCAAATCACAATGCACCAGCTAGTTACAAACAAAGAGCAGGCAAAACAGTTCTGAAAATGAAGAATCGTAGGCAGGTTTACCAACTACAATCCAGATAATTTCTCCATTCTACTTCCCCCCCCCAAACCATAGGATATCAGAATTTTTCACATACTGAAATGCAGATATAAAGTGGCTTTTTAAAAACCAATGCTGAAGTAAGATCATCCAAATATTCAGTAATATTTTAATTCAAAATCTGATGACTTTCAGATATCACGAAAAGCAAAATTTTCCAATGAATGGAATAAAATTAAATGCTACATTAAACTGATATAACCAACTCTTATAGTTGATGATGAATATTGGTACTGTACTTTGATTCTAAACTAATAAGTGGACTGTATAGCAAAAGAACTAACTAATTTATTTACAGTAATTAACTATTCAGGTCTAATACATGCTCTGGCATGTTGCTTAGCCGAATCCAGATGGCCAAGTGAGAGTTTCTCTACTTATCCAATTGGTGGCGCTGTATTCTAACTTAACAGGTACAATGGTTTTAAATACAGAAAACATCACCATTTTGATTTCATTGTGGTGGCTAGTCTTTATTTGTGTAAAATAACTCTTTCTAAACCCTTGGAGTATATTTCAGGATAATGTACCAAAATTGGGAAAAAAATTTTCTTTTTCACTCTTGGTAAGTTCCTTTACAGCTAATCTTGTCCAGCTTTCGAATAAATGTGGACCAAATAGCATCATCTACAGAGAAAATAGTGAATTACATTGCATTACATAAACGAAAAACACTGATTTTTCTCCTGTCCAAAGTCATCTGATACAGTTCGGTTGCCCAAACTAGATTCAGGTTACACTGGTAAAGAGTTAAGATATTAACAAAATGTGCTTTTTAATAATTCCTACATGTCATCTTATTAAGATTTAAATTAATGAAATCTAGAAATTTTCCAAATTTTGGAATTGCCTTAGTCCCAAAGATTCCAGACCTCGGACTTTGCACTATATTTGCTAATGCCTTAATGTTTTCTCTCAATGAACACCAAAAATCAAATGACATGCAAAGTTAAAAAGGGTCAAATTTCAATACACAGTAAAAAGGTGGTATTATTTAAAAAATTTTATTTATGGTTTCATTTACATTATGATGTATCTTCTTTAGTCACCCTTGTATATATTACTTGACTGTGATGTTTAACAACTTGCTTGATTAAACCTATAAGGAAAACAATTATAGTAATTATACAGGTCACACTATTGTTAATACACTGCCAAATTTCATATACATTATAAACTAATATATACTTCGCACTTCAACAAATAATTAATCAAGGAATAGAAATTAAAACAAAAATATTTGTTCAATTACATGGAAACACCTCCCCCCATATTTTTTTTACCCAAAGTCTTAAATTTTCATGATATGCTAAAACAATTGCACTGACGTACAGACAACATGCTCCATTGTAGTAACTAAGAAAATGCTTCACTAGTTTTTATTAGTTAGTCAATGTGCACCATTTAAAGAATATTCTTGCACTACTAATTTCACGTCAAATTGGAAAAAACATTTACTTTAGGAAATGATGAAATAACTGTAGTGTGATATACATGTAAGTTACACACAATACAATAAATTATTTAGTTATTTAAAAAATGGTTAATGTACAACTTTCCAACCCTTTTTTTTTTTTGATAAAATGTCCCAGTGTCTCAGAAAGTATCCTTACAGAGGAAAAATTACAGGGTTATACATTTTACTTTATTTTTAAATAACAAAGTAATATCTACTTTCATGAATCACCTGATTACTCACTGAATCAAAATTTTTACTTTGTTGGGAAATGAGAAAAAATTGTTTAACCTTCCAGCAAGCGCATATGTGCAAAATTTACAACAAATTAAGTTTTTAATGCTCATTTTCCGCATATCGAAGCTGAGACGTCTGAAGGTAATTTTTATTCCTCCTTTCTACCCTTCCCCACATCATGGAATGTGCCAACAAGAAATCATTTGAGGCACCCATATTTAGAAGGACACACACATGTAGAATAAGTTATTTGTGTCTAGATCTTTATCTGGGCTAAAAATAGCATTCAGTATTGAAAGTTAACCTGTGTCCTTCACGTATTTGAGACCAAATTTAGGAAAAAAAGTGTGTCTTATATGCCGTCAAATACAGCATATAAGACATGTATTATTTTAATTTAAATACATTTGGCTATGTAAATTTTATATCGGTTTTCATGGTGAAAAAATATGTGAAACCAGCTGGTTTTGCTCAGATTCTTTAAGAATTATCTGATGAAGAAAAGGAAGAACAATAGCGATTTCCATTCCTTATTTTCTTTTATTTCTATTTTTTAGAAATAAAAACATTAAAGTTAGTTTAAAGTGCATTTTTGTAACCAGTAAGAAGTAAACTAAATGCTAAACTTACTTTTTTTCCTACCAAGGTGTTTTCCTTTTTATTGTCTATACTTGTCTTTGATGAATATTAAAATTAGCTTCAATTTTAAAATATAGTTATTAAACAATCAATTTAAAATTTTCTACAATGAAATACATCATTGCATTTCCATCTCACTAACGTAAGAACTTAAAAATAATTTACTTATATTTGGATGTGATATCATTTGTATTTTGCAATAAGATTAATATTTTATTTCTTAACAAATTTATTATCAATATTCACTCATTTCTGTCATTTTTCGTGCCAAAAACGGTAAAAGAACGGATGTTTTAAAAAATACGAAGCATCCGTGCTAATGTAAAATGGCCAAGCGTGTTTGCTATAAGATTAAATAAGTTATGCAGTACGATACACCTAAAGAATCGCAAGACACTGTACTCAAATTCATAAGTAATGATAATCAATCAAAAATAATCAAGCAGCGATTTTGAGTGCAATACATTTAAACTAACACAACTATAAAAAATCACCTACACAGCATGCAAAATAAATACAAGGTGCAAGTAAAAGTGGTGTCTATGTAAGGTAAAGCAGCTACATGCTACTAATGAGCCAGCTGACAGCACCTGGTGGAAAATGACAGTAGAATTAGTGTTGCGGTCTTGAAAACTGTATGAGATAAGAGGAAAAAGTAAAATACCACGCTGTAGAGCACTGACAGAAAATGAACAGACACCTCATGGACATGAATGTTAAGAACAGAATACTTCAAATGTGTATTTCTTTCTTTGCAATTTTTTTGCAGTGACATGACAAAAACAATCTTGGAAAGAAAAAACAACTAGTTACCAAGAGATACCTTTATTATATACTTATTCCTGTCAGCCGAAATGCACATCTGAATCCTTATTGCAATTTCACATGGCACATGTTGTAGCACAGGTGACACAAATATCTATAATATGTAAATTCCGCACCAAACATTAATCAAAAACCATATTTGATATTGAATGTCGCCAGAACATGATGGATTTTTCAGTGCCTACTGTACGTTTTAATTCCACGAAAAGCATGTCTTATCTCTCCACATTATACCTGCCAATAATATTTGCTGGACCTATATATGGTTCATATTGCAACTGCATCAAGCAGAACATCTCTTAGCACCCCGTCCTGTAATGCCTGATGAGGTGTTGAGGAATAATGGATGAGCACTTAATTTGTTAAGGATCTTTCAAATGTGATTTTTTGGCAGGCCACAGTTTTCACTTATTTTCTTGTGCTGCTGTTTGGATATGTTTTCATACTAAAGCAAAGATACTCTATAACTTGGTATTTCACTTTTCCCTCCAATCTTGAACCATTTTCGAGAGAGGAATGCAAACTTGCCTGTTTACCACCGGGTGTTGCTAGAAATGGTCTCATCTAGTAGTGCATAACCACTTAACCATACCTAAACACCACTTTTATAACATAACAGCTGCAGCTGATCAGCAGTTACACATGGTAGTGGACTTTACTACCTACCCCTGTAGAAAAACAGCTACTTTGTAAAAACAGACACAATTCTGGGCACTAGATTCAAAATATATATCAAACTACGTTCAAATACCGAAAATCCGCCGACCTGAAATCTGCATTGCCTCTTAAACATTTAGTTTATAGGTTCCGGAAACTGCAACATTAAGTACAAAATATCTAAGAAAAAATATTTACTGAATAATAATGAGTCATAAAGTAAATACCAAATTATTCACATCATGATAAAAGTTTTCCCACCTCTAATCTGCATTGAGGTAAGGAAGCAGATGATTCACTCAACTCTTCTTTTAAGTTCACGATTCATGTTGTATTTTTTGAGCTTTGTTATTTCACATGATTATTAAATGTTGTCTTTTTTATCTGGATATTTTGTGGATAAATAAAGAATACTTTTAATTTCAGCTTTTTTTAATACAATTACAGATTGGAAAAGCACTCATGATTTTACTGCTTGCAACGTTGAAAAATGTAAACACGTTGCATTGGCGGTAATGCAAAAAGTGGAAATTCTGCAAAAGATGGAGACTGGTGCTACTTCTCGGTATAGCAGAATCGTATGGAATTGCGATACAATTGTGTACGATATACAGAAAAAAAAAAGCTGTTGAAATTTTACAGCAACAGTGATTCTGACATCGGAAATCTTTGCACAAGGAGAAATCGGCAAACCTCGATGCGGTGTATATATAATAATTTAATGCATATAATAAATTATTGCAATAATGTACATAATAATTTAATTCAATATATCCGATACATCTTATTTATTTCGCACTTTTAGTTTGAATATTATGATTTATCTTTTCTTTCCTGAAATCCGCAAAATCTGCACAACCTCTGGTCCCAAAGCTTTGCGGATTTCTGGAATTCTACTGTATTAAAAAAAATCCAAAATTCATTTTAAATCTCTACTCAGAATTTTTTGCATTCAGTCATATTCTTATCTGAACTGATGAACTAATAAATGTCACATGCACAAAATCAAGATTTCAAAAATATGTTTTAACTGAACTGCAAAGCTTAAAATATACAGAAAATATTACTGAGACAATGTTATAATGAAAAAAATGTACCTTTCTGCTGAAGTTCTTCTAATGCCTTTCTGGCTAAGGATCCCCGAACTTTCAGTCGATCAGAAACCACAGATGGTGTAATTAACTTATAACTTGGAATTTCTTTCAACATTTTTTCATATGTTGGTTTGTCAAACAGGACCAAGTTGTTCAACTTGTCCCGAACTTTTCCTTTTGACCACTTCTGAAAATTTAATTTATATATTTTAATACTGATTTTATTTATATTAAAAACTTTAAAAAATTAGGTACAAAGTTTTATATTATTAGTAAACTTTCAACTACACTTTTTAAATTAGCAAGGCCCAGCTCTGCTAGGTGAAATTTTTAGGAAATTACGAATACAGCTGCAACCATAATTAAAATCTACATATACAATGAAACGAAATCTAAATACACAATATAATGAACACGGCAGTGAACCTCCTCGTGGCAACAACACTTCACACTAGCTGAAAATTGTTTTGAGATAATACTTTGCTTCACAGCCAATGGCACAGAACAATCTGGGGTGTTTATTTAACAGTTCAAAGCATCCTGGAAATTATTAAAGTTCTTCTATTCAGAGCTTCAGAAAAAAAATTTTCCACAAGTAATTCAAACCCAATAGCTAGTTCATCATTAAGCATTTTTTACAGTAACATGCTATAATTACTACAGTACTGCAGATAATTTTTGAAGTAGGTGATTTATGACCACGCTGAAAAAGTAATGCTCACTAAGTAGGGATAAAAAAATTCAATTTGATGCCTTACTACATGTTAGGAATGATCTCCACAGCAAAGTTTCGACATGAAACATGGAAAATCATCACACCTTTTATGCTAATGCAAAACTGTAATATTCAATTTAATGCTTCAGAACATGTTGGGAATGATGTCCACAGAAAAATTCAGACCCAAAAGATCATTCACTATCACACATCTTAACCCCTTAACTGCCGCGGGCGTATATATACGCCTTGCTCAGCCGATGCGTTAACTGCCCTGGGCGTACATATACGCCCTTACAAAATACTATCAGTTGCTTTGCGCTGCTACCCGCAATGCTATTCGCAAACTTTTGGAATGCAACACCAGAATGACCTTGACGAAGTATGTGAAGGAGGATATTATTTCAGAGAAGTGTGGGGAGAAATTGGAGAGAGGGACGTGTCTAAAGTGTTGAAAGTAATGACTGCGTGGTATTGGCTAGTGTTGTTTTTTTCTTAAATGTCCTGTGTCCTCCGTTTTCGTTTACTTTTTGTAGTAGGTTCCAGGAATAAAGAAAGATATAACGGATGTTTCAAACCCATTTATCTTTCTTGAATTACTTTTTGATGAACTGCTCGTGCTTTATATTACTACTGAAACTAACCGTTTTGTAGACGAGTATATGAACCAACAACACCTTGCAAACGAAAAATCAAGAATAATATCGTGGCATTCAACCAATTCAGAACAAATATATGTTTTTATAGGCATACTGATTTCACAAGGTATATAACACTGAAACATGATATTACACTTTACTGGTCTAAAAATGAATTGATCGAAACCCCATTATAGGGACCTTTTTTATTATAAAAACATCATTTTTATTATACTTACATCTTTTTATTATATTTTTACTCAAAATATTAAATTTTGTGCATGCATTTTTTTTTTACTGTTTATTTTGTGAAACTAAACAATTTTTAGAAAGTAAAACTTGCTCTTATTTCCCCCCTAATAAATCGCATAACTATGCGCGGATATGTGAAAAACCGTGGCACTGGGGAATGAATCTTGTACGTTTTCCGCGGCAGTTAAGGGGTTAATGCTTAATAATACACTTGCTTTCAGCACTGGGTTGGGGGCATCTATTTAATGGTTCATAAGATGGTGGAAATTAAGTGAATTTTTCTGCTGAATGCTTCAGAACAAAATTTCCACAAGAAATTCAGACCCGAAAGATAGTTCATCACCAAGCATTTTTTACAGTAATATGTTAAATATATATACATAATTACTATTATGCTGCAGATAATTTATCATGTATTTTATTTATGCCTAAACATTTTCAGTTTATTGAAAAAGTAATGCTCACAATGTTGGGGAACAAAACTATTAAATTTAGTACCTTAGAACATGTTATGAATAATGTCCATACCAAAGTTCAGACCTAAAACATGGATAATCATCACATTTTATGCTAATGGCTAATCCAAAATTGGGATAATATTCAACTTGATGCTTCAGAAACGTTGGGAATGATGTCCACAGAAAAATTCAGACCCGAAAGATTGTTCATCATAACACATCTTAATGCTTATCCTAGATTTGCCTTCAACACTGGTCAGGAGGCATCTATTTAATAGTTCAGAGCATACTGGAAACTACGTAAGTTTTTCTATTCACCGCTTCAGAACAAAATTTCCACAAGAAATTCAGACCCGAAAGATAGTTCATCATCAAGCATTTAAAAATATATATACATGAATACGTTACATATATATATATGTATTACTATTACGCTACAGATAATTTATCATGTATCTTATTTATGCCTAAACATTTTCAGTTTATTAAAAAAAGTAATGCTCACAAAATTCAAAATTAAATGTAGTATCTTAGAACATGTTAAGAATAATGTTCACAGCAAAGTTGAAACCTAAAACATGGATAATCATCACGTTTAATGCTAATGGCTAATCCAGAATTGGGACAATATTCAACTTGATGCTTCAGAACACGTTGGGAATGATGTCCACAGAAAAATTCAGACCCGGAAGATTGTTCATCATTACACATCTTAATCCTTATCCTAGCTTTGCCTTCAGCACTGGGTGGGGATGGGGCATCTATTTAATGGTTCATAAGATTGCTGGGATTTATGTGAATTTTTTACTGAATGCTTCAGAACAAAATTTCCACAAGAAATTCAGACCCGAAAGATATTTCATCATCAAGCATTTAAAAATATATATACACAAATACATTACATATATATATGTAATTACTATTACGCTACAGATAATTTATCATGTATCTTATTTATGCCTAAACATTTTCAGTTTATTAAAAAAAGTAATGCTCACAAAACTCAAAAAAAAAAAAAAAAAAAAAAAAAAAAAAAAAAACTTAGTATCTTAAAACATGTTAAGAATAATGTTAACAGCAAAGTTGAAACCTAAAACATGGATAATCATCACGTTTAATGCTAATGGCTAATCCAGAATTGGGACAATATTCAACTTGATGCTTCAGAACACGTTGGGAATGATGTCCACAGAAAAATTCAGACCCGAAAGATTGTTCATCATTACACATCTTAATCCTTATCCTAGCTTTGCCTTCAGCACTGGGTGGGGATGGAGCATCTATTTAATGGTTCATAAGATTGCTGGGATTTATGTGAATTTTTTACTGAATGCTTCAGAACAAAATTTCCACAAGAAATTCAGACCCGAAAGATAGCTCATCATTAAGCATTTTTTACAGTAACATGTAATCTTATACATATGCGGCTTAAGTGTTTGTCGTCGATAGTTTATTAGTTGCTTGCGTAAATGTACTAGCCGATGGGGTGAAGTTGTGACTGCAAAGAGTTGCTGTTTCAATTGAGACTTAGACAATTTCCTATTAAACTTGCCTTTGCTATAACCATCAATAAGTGTCAGAGCCAAACGCCTAAGCGTGTTGCCGTTTTTTTACCTCAGCCTGCATTTGTACACGGTCAACTTTATGTTGCCTGTTCAAGAGTTCGTGAAAGAACGGACGTAAAATTAAAAATAATTGATGGTCCTCTGCAAGGCGAGCTTAAAAGTGATGGAAAGATCTACACGAGAAATGTTGTGTACAAAGAGATATTTGACATGTGAATTAACATTTTATTATTTAAATCACCTTCCTTCATTGACCTATCGGTGGCCCTTATGAAATGTACCGCCAGTGGCTTCCTTCATTGCACTCTACTTTAAGCAATTACGCAAGTAGGAGGGAGGAGAACCCCGTGGGACAGTAAGGAAAGGGGCATCCTCGCCACCTGCCCTGGGTAATTCAGTTTGAATTAGCAGACACCTTTGCACAAATCCTTTTAATTACAAATGATAATATCTAAAACAGCGGTCATTTCGTATGACTTCCGAGTTTTCTAGTATATATATATATTTATACACACAACTAGCAGCTATGCTGCCAGCCCTCGTCTGGCTTTTCACCGGAAAAATGTCTGAAGAGAACAGCAAATGTTAAATTTAAAAACTGCACATAATTTTACTCTCCGGAACAACTTCATGGACCCCCCCCCCGCAAATTAAAAAAAAATTTACTTCATATAACAAAATAACAATGAAATAAGCAATATCCCTTAATAGAAATATTAATTATCCTAATAAGTAAATTAACCAACTTCCTGTTGTCTTCTCTGAACAAACGTCCAATAGAGAAACATTAAATTAAAAAACTGCACAGAATTATCATCCTCACTTTTCAAAGTGCCAACAGTGCTGATTTTCAGCAAGCCAATATACAATTGAATGAAAAACTGTCGTCCAAACCACATTTCTAAAAGGATGAAACTATTCAAAATGATGTAATAAAATTAATGCACCTATATACCAAATTTCGTACCCCTGGATCTATTAGCTTACGTGCAAGCACGAACGAAAGACACACTTTTTTATTAAAAAATTGATCATGTATCTGCAAATATCTTTTTATTTATAAGAAAAGGAAATGCTCACAAAATTGAAAAATAATTACTGAATTTGATGCCTTGGAACATAGGAATAATGTTGACAGCAATGTTCACACCTAAAAGATGGATAAACATCACACATTTTATGCTAATAGTTAATTCAGACAACATTCAACTTGATGCTTTAGAACACGTTGGGAATGATGTGCACAGAAAAATTTAGACCCGAAAGATTGTTCATCATTACACATCTTAATGCTTATCTTAGCTTTGCCTTCAGCACTGGATGGGGGGAAGCATCTATTTAATGGTTCATAAGATACTGGGAATTATAAGAATTTTTCTACTGAATGCTTCAGAACAAAATTTCCACAAGAAATTCAGACCCGAAAGATAGTTCATCACCAAGCATTATTTACAGTAATATGTTAAATATATATACATAATTACTATTATGCTGCAGATAATTTATCATGTATTTTATTTATGCCTAAACATTTTCAGTTTATTGAAAAGTAATGCTCA